CGCTCTGGGCCGAGAGCCCCGTCCTGGCCCCTCAGCATCCGCCGGCCGGCCGCCGCGCAGGGAGGCAGGAGCTCTGCTGGGGCGGGCTGTGGCGCGTGCCCGAGCCCCGAGCAGGGGTGGGGGGACCCCACGCACACGGCGCCCCCTGAGACAGCGGGAGCGGGTGAGAATCCCGGGTGTCCGCTGCAAAGAGCAGACCGCGTACTGCAGAGGCAAAGAGGAGGCCTCGGGCCGGCGGCGTGGCTCCCGCCCCCCGCGGACCTGCTTCGACCCTGGTCCCGCCTCTCTGGAGAGGGCCACGGCGAGGCAGGAAAGGTCACCTTCGGTCCGAAGGGAGCCTTGTGCTGCAGCGAGCCTGAGACGTTTGCTGAGAATATAGACGGAGTGATTTGGGCCGGGAAAGGGGGACCGGCTCCTTCCTTCCTTCCCCCATCCCCTCCCATTTCCTCTTGCTGGGAAGTGGGGAGCAGGTGGGCTGGAACCGGCGCTACAGGCCCAGATCCCCACCTCCGCCCCGCCTGCACTTGGGGTAACCGCAAGCTGAAAGTGCGGGTTCTCCAGCTGCCTTGGCTTCGGGTGCCTTTCAAGGTCACCCGCAAACATTCGTACACCTTCCCCTAAATACCGCGGAGTGCCTAACAGCTCAGGATTTGTTGGCAGTTTTCCTTTTGAGTTAAAAGGTACTTGGGTTAAGGGGCACCTGGGTGGCTCGATCGGTTAGGTGTCGGTCTCCTTATTGCGGCTCAGGTCGTGATCTCAGGGTATTGGGATCGAGCCCTGTAGTGGGCTCTGCGCTCAGCCGGGAGTCTGCTTGGGATTCTCTCTCTCCGTCTGTGCGCCGCCCCCATACACTGTCATTCTAAATAAATAATTTTTTTTAAAGATTTTGTTTATTTATTTGACAGAGAGAGATCACAAGTAGGCAGAGAGGCAGGCAGAGAGAGAGGGAAGCAGACTCCCTGCAGAGCAGAGAGCCCGATGCGGGGCTCCATCCCAGGACCCTGAGATCATGACCTGAGCCGAAGTCAGAGGCTTTAACCCACTGAGCCACCCAGGCGCCCCTAAATAAATAAAATTTAAAAAAAAATTTCTTAGGTTGAAATGCAGAAATTGGAAGTGTGCATTCCCCGAGCTTTCACAAATGCACACGAGCGTGTAATGCATGCCTGCACGACCTTCTGTTGCCTGAGCATGCCTGGAGCAGGTAATGCCTGGGGTTGCACCCGAGAGAGCAGGGGAGAACTAGCGCATCCCAGTGGGTATGGAGGAGCAGGGAGGGGGAGGAGGGAGAGGAGGCCGAGGGTCAGGTCTTCTCAGACCGCATCCCACCAGCTGCCAGCTCTTGGACATGGTTACATTGTTGGGTGGAAACCTCAGAACTCTGACACAGAGTAGCGCTCCTGTTCTGCTAGGGCTGTCACTGTTACGATTCCCATCTGACCCATAGCCGTCTATGTTCATGTGTGGAAACCCCGGAGGAGAAGAAAGGTGAAGGGGGGGGGGGGGGGGGGGGTATCTGGAGGCCAGGCTTTGGCCTGAACCCCCGACACCTCTGACTGGGTTCTGGAAACAAGTGCAAATAGTGAACAGTGGTATTTGTGAAAGTGAGCTGACCCAGGGAGGTTGCCTATCCAGCTGCTCTTGTCTCCTTTTTCCTTGTTAGCAAAGCCCACGCCCAGCGAGAAGGGCTGAAAATGCCCGGTGCTCACTCCCCAGCCTTCCCCGCAGCTGGGAGCGTGCACCCATGCAGGCCAATGACACAATCAGGGAAAGTTACTGGGGCTTCTAGGAAAGATGTTCTCTGTCCCAAAAAGAGCTACATGGGAGGAAATGCCCTATTTTTCCCTAGTTGAAATGTTATCATGTGCGGGTGTGATGCTTGGGGCTGTGGCAGCTGCATTGCCACCATGAGTTGTAAAACTAAGAGAATCAAAGAAGAATCAGCCTCTGTTCCTGAGTCTTAGAGCTGCTGAATCCTGGAGTGTTTACCTGTAGACTTGTCGTCGGAGGCCATACAGTCTCCATTGTTGGACAGTCTGTTCCTCGCAGTCTAAAGCATGTTAACTGATAACACATGATTTGTAAAATTTTTTACTGGTAATACCATTGCATTTCCTGAAAACAATCGTATTTATATTATAAAGATCAGACTTAACTGTTTTAAAGAAAATTATAATCCACTGATTTGTGGTAGGAGTAAATCACCAGTTCTCAAAAGAGTTCAGATGACAGAACAGGAATTGTTTCCAAATGGCGGTCTTCAATATTTGTAGGAATTTCAACATCATCATAGTCTCCTTCAGATTACATAGGCTCGGGGTAGAAACTGTCTTCTTAGTTGTACCTTTATTTATCTGTGAGTGTGTAGCTGGTGGCAATGCAGCTGATGTGGGGTGTCCTAGGGGGCTAGAATAGACAAAAAGCCCTTGAAAATTTTTGATATATTTAATGTTATCGTCCAAATTGGGAAAAACTTTTCTTTTTTTACCAAGCTGGTAAAAACATGGCTTTACTGCAGGTACCCAGGGTAAAATCTCAACCACAGCGTGCCTGCTCGGGGAAAAACTACTTGTTTCCTTTTGTCCAACTGGTTGGTAGATTTTTTAGGAATGTTCAACATCCAGTAAATGTTTACTAAGGGCCTACTGTGTGCAGGGGTTTGTGCTAGATACTGGGACTACAGCCGCGAGCCAGGCAAGCTCCACCCCAGCGGAGCCCCGGGTTAGAAAGAGGGACAGAGAAGGAAGCAGGCAATTATAATGCAGAGACGGATGTATTCCCACGGGCCATCTTTGTTCATTCATTCATTCAACTGATCATTCTTTCGCCATGTTTGTTGAGTATCCACAGAGTTCCCAGGCACTGTGCTAGGGACAGAGAAAACACTGGGAGGAAAGACACTGTCCCTGTCCCCCCACGTTCCCGTCACTCTAGTGGGGGAGAAAGGTAAACAGGACATCCTCGGGTGCTAATGCTATGGGAGGAGATCATCGAAGAGGGCATCAGGTTCAGGTTTGGGGTGGTGACATAGGAGGGATGAGAAGGTGGGGAAGAATGTTCTAGACGGGAGGCAGGTCACTGTGCATAGCCGTAGGGGCGAGAGAGACCCCAGACCAGGTCATTTCAAGTGACTGGAGCAAAAATTTTGTCAGAATGGAAGTTGCAAGGGGGCGGGGAGGGGAAGTTTGCAGGAAAGACCCGGAGACTGGATCCTGACAAGTGTTGTAACCCATATTAAGGAGTTTGGGGGTTTTCTGAGGGTGATGGATGAAGAAGAGGTTTAAGCAAGAGAATGGAGGGGTCAGATGTCCCCTTGAGAAAGCCGCTAGCTGTCGCAAAGAAAGGGGAGCAGAGGGTGAGACGTTAGTGGCAGGAGAGGCTGCCTGACCAGGGCTGGGTCACGGGTGCGGTCACAGAGCAGGGACACGGGGAAGGAGGAGGACCCCACACACTGGTCCGGTTTCTGACTCCAGGGACTGAAAAGGTAGCAGAGCGCAGGGAGTCTGGGATTGGGGTAGGGCAGCGTTCCTTTTGGGGTATGTGGAGCTTGAGGGCCCTGTTGGGGGCGTCCTGTGCATGTCCTGGGGGCAGCCGGGCTGGGACTGAGGAGTGGGCTCAGCTGGAGCCTGTGGACCCCTGCCGGGGTCTCGGGGGGATGAGGCAGGCATGGGGAAGAGCCTGGGGATGGGGGGCGGGCCGGCTGGAGGAGAACAGGAGATGGGGCCATCCCAGAAACCGAGGAGGAGGTCATTCCTCTCTGGTATTTACTTCTAACTTTCATCATCGATGTGGCCGGTTTACGGACCGTTCCTAAGAGGGAGGCATGCACGTGACACATGTCTGTCCTGTGGCTTACTCGTTTTGTTTCCCTGTAACTTGGGGAGTGAGGCCTCTCTGGCTCCTGGGGCTCCAGGGGTCCGTCAGGCCGCAGTGAGAGGACCACGTGGCCCACGAGAAGGTGGTGGTCACACGGAAAGTCTGCTGGGAATCTAGAAAGACAGAAGCTGGAGGAAGGCCCTTCACCACTGGTCCCGCGGTGGCAGAGGAGGATGCTTGAACACAGCTTGAGCATGCAGTGTCCGTGTCTGGAGGAGGAGCTCAGTCCAATGGTCACTCGGCCTTTCGGAGCTCCATGGTGCTCTCCCTGCAAGCCTGCTCTGCGGGATTCCCTGGGGATTGTTTAGAAATCAGGTCTCCGGTCTGCTTAGGATGCGCCAATCTGAGGGCTCAACTGATCAATGCCGAAGAATGGACAAGGTTCCAGAGCCTCCAGGCTGCCTCTGCCTCGGGGTTGGGGGCACTTCCATGGCAGGACCCCAGCCCCTTCCACGCATCTGACCCCAGAGCCTCCACGCGGTGCAGCGCGGCCTCCCAGACGCGCTCGGGGACAGCGATCTCAGTGCTGTTTGCGCAGAACATGACTGAAGGAACACTCCTCTTGAACCTGCCGCGTAATTGTCCCTTTCTTGCCTCTTGCCCATGACTTTCCCCGGGGAAGCCTCCTTTCCTGTAGCTCCCCAGGACACGTATCTCACATGGCCCTGCTGCGTGTATGTGCTTTGACCCAGAGGGTGACCCGTTTCTGTCCTTGTTGATTGCCATGATGCCACCAGGAGGCACAGGGAAAAAAATCCGGGAGAACCTGAATCTGGGGTCCATCCGGCTAATGTCACGGAGAGGCTGTGGGGTTTGGGTGGTGTGTAGGTGGGGACGGTTCACAAGAACAAAATGCACTGCTTGGTCTTGAGGAACCTGCAAGGTGTGATGTGGCGGCTTGCACACGCCGAGCGAGCAGCTGGAACAGCCGCCCACAGCCCTCGGGGTGCGGGGTGGGGAGTGGGGGGAGGGGCGATGGGTGGGGAGGGGGGTGGGACCCCTGGGGCCGCGCTGGGGATGGGAGCCTGGAGGCTCAGCCAGCCCAACACCCAGATTTGGCATCACTTCGAGCAAACAAGAGAAGAGGAGGGGAAGAGTATTTCTCACGGGTAGGGGCAGGGAGCCACTGGACCCAGAGGTCCTCCCGGGGAGGTTCAAGGTTCAAGGCCTGAGCCTTTGGAGTCTCCAGGGCAGAGCTTGGCCCCTGTTCCTCTGGATGCTGGTGCTTCTGGCTCTAAGCCACAAGCTCTGTCCTCTAGAGCTCCACGACATGACCCCGGGCTCTCGGGACCCCGCTCTCTGTTGGGATTCATCTGTTCTCAGTGGGTTGAAAAAGCTGTGTGAATCCTCTTCAACTTGCCGGCAAAGAAGGGCCAGGGGGTCTCAGAAACGCTGCTTTTCCATATGTGCTGGGATTTCAACATCATCGTAATCGTCCAGGGGCTCAATGTAGCTCGGGATGGACGCGGTCTTCTTGTCTCTAAGTTTGTTGACCCGCGAGTACGTAGCTGGTGGCTCACTTGGGGTGTCCTGTGGGACTAGAATGCACAACAAGGTCCTTACAGGCAAAGCTGTGGTGTGTTTTTACGTTTTTGATGAAGTGACTCAGCACGATTTTCATGGGTTTGGGTAATCTTCCCACGGTCTGGCGGAGCAGACCCCCATCTCTTATGGGGGAAACCGAGGCACAGACATGACACGGCCTCAGGATCCCCCAAGCTGGTCGATGGCAGATGTCGGTCTGACACCATGGCTCCTGTGTCCCTCTGCCTGCCCCCCGCCCGCCGCTCCCGTCATGGGAACCAGGAAAGAGAAGTGTAGACAAGCTTACCTAAGCCGGTACTCAGATGAGTAGAATTGTGTGATACCCTCATTCTCGTGGGAAGTGATACAAACCACGTTTCCTTTTTGGCACATCCCTCCCAGGGACCTACAGTGTTTTCCAGAACTTCCCCTAATTGCTCAGGCACGAATCTCTGTTCAGAAGGAAGGACGGGGACAGTGGTGTTTGCAGAATGGGGGCTTAGGGAATGGGTACGGAGCAAAGAAGCACCAAGGCAGCCAGGAAAAGGACGATGAACGAATGAGCCAGGTAGGCCTCAGATGATACCGGAATGTTCTCGACCACAATCTCTTCCTTCCTACGTGCACCTGAGAGGGGGCCAGCCCTCATTTCTTGCCGGGCTCTGCGGTCAGATCCCCAGTTCATCCCCAGGCTCCAGCAGTCCCTCGCTGTGTCGCTGTGGGTGAGGCCCTGCACAACTCTGTGCCTCCGTGTCCTCATCCGTCAAAGGGGAATAAGGATGTATGTGCCTCGCACTGTTGTTGGGGGTGTCACGTGAGACAGCGCCCGCAGAGTGCCTCGCATGGGGCCTGCCCCGCCGGGCTGCTCAGTAAATGTGGGCTAATCTCACAATGTACCCATTCAGTCGAGACAGTCCTATGCTCTCCTAAGCCCCAGGCCCTGGTCTTAGTGGTGGGTCCCCAGTGGTTAGCCAGACAGAAACGTTCCCGTTTCCTCGACTTTGTGTTCTAGCGGGAGGAGGGCGGGCAGAAACAAAGTAAGACAACTTTGGGTAATTGCCACGCATTTCATGAAGACAATTACTGGGTTCATTTTAGAGAGGGTGGACAGGAGGGGCCTCTTTAAGGTGCTGACTTTTTTTTTTTTTTAAGATTTTATTTATTTGAGAGAGAGAGAGAAAAAGAGAGAGTGGGGGAGAAAAGAGGGAGGGGTAGACTCCACACTAAGCAGGGAGCCTGACGTGGGGCTCGATCCCAGGACCCCGAGATCATGACCTGAGCTGAAACCAAGAGTCGGATGCTTAACTGACCGAACCCCCCAGGCGCCCCGAGGGGCTGACACGTGGGCTGACCTCGAAGGGTGAAATAAGGCCACTACCTAAGCAGCTTAAGGAAGAACATTCCAGTCCAGGGAACCAGGCAGAGTGTTTCTGATGGGAAGTGTGGGAGGCCCAGTGACACCCCAGGTTTCTTTTCACTCAAGCTCCAAACCGGGATTTGAATGTAAGTTTGCAGGTTGCTACTCACTCTGCTCCCTTTTTAACTTCTTGGTCCCTTTCAGAAGGATGGGACCATCTGCAGATGCTAGTGGTATGGACTGGTTTTCTTGTCCCCACAAAATTCCTGTGTTGAAGGCATAAGCCCCCAGTGAGGTTGTGTTCGGGATGGAGCATTTAAGGGGGTAATTAACGCTAAATGAGGTCATAAGGGTAGGGTCCTGATCGCATAGGCTTTTGTCCTTATAAGAAGAGACACCAGAGTGCCCTCTCTCCCTCTTCCCTACCCCATCCCCCCTGACCAAATTGGCTGGCACCTTGGTATTGACATTCTAGCCTCTGGGACCATGAGAAAATACATTTCAGTTGTTTAAGCCACCTATTCTATGGTATTTCGTGCGGGCAGCCCAAGCTCAGACACTTAAATTTGTTACCCTACCCCGAATGAAACTGTCATCAGTGACAGACACTTACATTTGTGTTCCGGAAAAAGCAAACCCCTGGGCGGCAGAGGGGGTAACTGAACCGATGGTTTGTTAGGAACATTCCTGGAGATAGAGGGAGAGAGAGGAGTAAGGCTGTGATTTTGACCGTCCTGGCTCAGCCGACTGGAAGGAAAACATCACAGAAAAAGGACAGGGTTGAACATCCAACCCCTGGTTCCTGAAGGTGGGAGGCATCTCCTTCTCTAGGTTTTGGATCCCATTTGTAAGGAAACCGTCTCCCCTCGCCCTGGGAGCAGCTGGACTTAGCACAGAGCTTGCCTTCCGGGGTTCTCCTGCACTGTTTTAGGAAGGGGAGGTGAGCGCCAAACCCGGGTGTTCCTAAAGCCAACTTTATCCACCCCGCTGAGATGTTCGCACGCGCTCACCGGAAACGTGGACCAGAATGTTCCTCACGGCACTGTGCACCACAGCCCCAGACTGGACACCACTCAGATGCACATGAGCCAGAGTGGGTCAGTCCCTCATGGTCCCCTGCACTGTGGGATGCTCCACAGGAGTGAGGGTGAAGCGTCTGTAGCCACCCACAAGGACACTCGGGGAGATGGTGAGCAAAAGAAGTCAAACACTAGACACTCTGTACTCCATCCCGGCCTCTGAAATGGCCCCTTTCAGAGGCCGGGATGGAGTAGCCACTCTACGGGCCGGGACCAAGCTCAGGGAGCCTCTCTGGCTGGCGCTGCTTTTTGTGCATGGTGCCCCGCGTGGATGCTGGGAGAAGGAAGCCTGGCGCCTGCGCTCATGCAGCGAGACAACCAGTGGAAGCCTGTGCCTGGTTTCTCCTGGGCTCCATCCCGTATGCCTTCCCTTTGCCGACTTACTCTGTACCCTTCTACTATAATAACACCAAACCGTGACTGTTGTAGCTTTTCTGGGTCCTGGAAGTGCTTCTTGTGAGTCATCAAGCCAAATGGTGATCCTGGGTACCCCCCAATACATAGCAATCATAAAAGCCCCAAGTTGGGACCTCTGGGGGGCTCAGTCCGTTAAGTGTCTGCCTTCGGCTCAGGTCAGGATCCCAGACTCCGGGGATCAAGTCCAGTATGGGGCTCCCTGCTCAGTGGGGAGCCTGCTTCTCCCTCTGCCCCTCCCCCTGCTTGTGCACGCGCACTTTGTCTCTCTCTTTCCTTCTGCCAAATAAATAAATAAAATATTTTTTTAAAAGCCCCAGATATGTCACAGGATACACAAGGAAGGCAGGTGGCATATTGTCGTTAAGCACACAGCCTTAAGGGGGTTGTACTTGCGATCCATTTAAAGAAGAGGAGGGTGGGACTCCTGGCTGGCTGGGTCAGCGGCGGAAGCCACTCTTGACCTTGGGGTTGCGAGTTCGAGCCCCAGGTTGGGGGTAGAGCTGACTTAAAAATCAAATCTTAAAAGAAAAGTGGTGGGCCCAGCACACAGAGCCTGGCCTGTGACCGCTACCAGAGGGGACCGTACCAGGGCGACTTGGAATGCAGAGCCACAGACCGTGCCCCGCATACTCAAAGCCCGAGTCCTGTCCCCTCGCGGTGGCGGAGCGGGCCGCGCAGGCGCAGTGGACCATCAGGGTGCCCTGGCGGAGTAGTGCAGGTGCGGGGTGGGGTGGGAGCGGGAGCCCTCTGAACCGAGAAACGGAGGATTTCCTCTTACTTACCCGTACATCTTCTCTTCATCCCTTTGCTCGTCTTCCCAGGGCTTGGCAATCTCCCACTTCTTGCCTAAGGAGTCAGATAAGCACGTCCATGTAGGAAGAAAGCAGGAGGGGGGCTCTGTGGTTCAGAAGTCCGCGGACACCAGCTGTGTTCAGGGCATGGGGGGAGGAACCACCGGGCAGACACGGACTCGGGGACAAGGAGCAGGTGAGCGGAGGACACGGGCGTCCCCACGGGCCTTCTGCCCGCCGAGCCTTTTGCTAATCCTCGAGGGTTAATACCGTGGGTCAAGATAAAAGAGAACAGATGAGGTTTTTGTTCAGGGTCACGCTTTTGTGCGTATCTAAAAAGGAAACCGTTTAGGAGGCAAATGGACAGAGGAGTATAGGAGCCAGAGTATGCTTTGTACGTAAAAAAATGAAGAATTATGGGCTCCCTGCTCAGCAGGGGATCTGCTTCTCCTGCAGCCCAGTGTCCGCCATGCTCCAGCTCTCTCAAAGAAAGAAAGAAAGAAAGAAAAAATCTTTTTAAAAACTGTGTGTGTGGGGGGGCGCCTGGGTGGCTTAATCAATTAAGCGTCTGCCTTCAGCTCAGGTCATGATCTGAGAGTCCTAGGATCGAGTCCTGCATGGGGCTCCTTGCTCAGTGGGGAGCCTGCTTCCCCCTCTCCCTCTGCCCCTTCCCCTGCTTGCACATGTGAGCTCTCTTCCTCTCTCTTTAATAAGTAGATTCTTTAAATCAAGGGGTAGAAGGGAAGGAACACTGCACAGGAAGCCCAGTGGACCCGAGTTCTGGTCCCAACTCTGCCACCAACTCCTATGAGGCCTCAGCCAAGGCTTTGCTTCTCTCTGAAACTTAACTGTCTTATCTCCAAAAACAGATGGAGGAGAATGACAAGGTCTCACTCCTCGTGCAGCCCTGACCTTTCAGGAGAGACGAGATCCCTGAGGGATGCCCGCCCGGGCTGTGCGCCCCTGGGGAGAGGGCCGCACCGCTCAGTGAGCTTACTACCATCCTTAGGTCATGGGGGGGGGATACGATCTCAAGAACACACACCATCGGATCAGGGATTTCACGTTTGGGGAGATGAACAGCAAAGTGGAAACCCACTTGTAGACAATCTAGTCGGCGTAAGGCCTCCAGGAAGCTGCTTGTGTGTGTTCCGAGGAGGCCAAGGCAGCTGTCATACTAGAGAATTCAGAGGACGACCTCAGAGAGGGCAGTCGTGGAGGCCAACATGTCCATTGTGGACTGAGCAGAGGGGGAAACTGAGGCCCAGAGAATCATGACGCTTCATCCAAAATTCAGCCGATACAGGCCTGGAATGAATCTTCCTGCCCTAAAGGAAGCCTGGCCCACTGGGGAGCCGCTCAGCCCTCCCCGCCCTCCACCTGCCCAGGTGCGACTGCCCTTACCCTGCCTGAGCAGCTGCCGACAGGCACAATACAGGATGAGGCCCAGGCCCGAGGAGACGAGGATGATGGCCACGGCTAGAATGATCCAGAAATTGTCCCTCCACCAGTCCATCGCAGTGGGGCCCTGGGGAGAATGGAGACAGAGGAAGGAGGTGTGAGTAGGGGCATTGGGCGGGGAGGGGTGGGGACCGCTGTCTACCACGGGGCCCTGGCCACGGGGAAGCCTCTGCTTACAGGTCAGGCAGGCACTGGCTCGGGCACACCCTGCCCGCCAGCAGCGGGGAGACCCTGAACCTGGGCCGGTCCCCCTGTGCAGCACGGGAGCGGCGCTGGCCAGTGCTTCCCAGGGCAGTCATGTGCACTGCAGACAAGACACGTGCCTGGGGGCTTCCTCACTGCTCTTTCCTAGATTGTCAACACGCAGGGGAGGGGCGGTGCCTCCAAATGCAGTTGCTTTTATATCAAAGGGGCAAGAGACTTAATTCCTATTTTTTCTTTTTCCTTGGAGGTGGGGGTTAGGAAGATACCTCAGTGGGTCTCCTGGAGCAAGGGGAAGGGGGAAGGTAAAAATGCAAGGCAAACTGAGTTAGTCCACTGGGAAAAAGGAACGGGAATTTGGGGGCTGCAAGCTGGCCGGGTTGAGCAGGTCGTAAACATTCTCATCCCATGCGAGGGGCCCGCGGCTCCAAAGGTGTATCCCGTCAACTCGCTGCACCTTTTCAGCGTATACAGTGAGATAAGCCAGTTACGCCCCAGTTATACCCTGGTGGGGCGGGGGTGGGGAAGGAGAGAGGGAAACAGGAAGAGAGCAGAAAGTTCGAGATTGTTAGAAAGTCCCCGTGGGGGAGGCCAGCCGCGCTTTCGTAGAATGGTGATGACTAACATTCAGCTCGGGGCAGTTGTGCCGCAATCTGTGTTACATCAAGGCTGCAGTGAAATTGCACAATAAAAGCTTGTTCGAATGGAGCCTGGGGAGTCCTGACATGTGTGCCCTAGTTTTTCAAGCGGGGGGACGTGTGCCACGGCGGGGAGCGGGCTGCAGGCCGGACTCACAGGCCTAGCCTCCGGGAAGGCAGGGAGCTCTTGGGCGAGGAGCAGCGCCCCCTCCCACCCAGGGCACAGGCACTCTGCCTGCTCATTTGGCTTTTTTTTTTTTTTTTTAAAGATTTTATTTATTTATTTGACAGACAGAGATCACAAGTAGGCAGAGAGGCAGGCAGAGAGAGAGGGAGAAGCAGGCTCCCCGTTGAGCAGAGAGCCCGATGCGGGACTCGATCCCAGGACCCTGAGATCATGACCTGAGCCGAAGGCAGCGGCTTAACCCACTGAGCCACCCAGGCGCCCTCATTTGGCTTTTCAAATAAAAAAAAAGATCCCTGAGGCCTGGCATATCCCAGGTACGTGAGAATCCACTTCCTGAGTCATCGTTTAGCCGATGGGAGCTCCCCCCTGCCTGCCCACGCAGAGCCGTTTCCGATTCAAGCCTTTGAGAGTGATACTGGCGGTGAAAGCAGGGAGCCAGGTAGGGGAACACGGGCAGCACGAGGCTGTGGTTGCTCGGGCCATTTTTCCCCGCAAAGACGTCTGACGTGGCTTCCTGTGTGCACGCGTGTGTGTGTTACCAGCATAGCGACTTCATTTATGACGTTGTTCCGTTATAATTTGGGTTTTCAGTCCCAAGGGCTGTTTCTTCCGTGATCAAACAGGATGGTTTTTGGCTATTCACGGAGTTCTGCATAGCGAAACCAGTTGTGTGCTCCTAGTGGTCCCGCAGGCACGTCATGCCGCAGCTTTTCTGCTCAACGTTTTGCTCGGTATTACGGGTCTGTCGTTGATCCGTGGTGGCGGATGTGCTGGAGACTGACTCCGCGGAGAGTGAAGTGTCCGCTAGCCAGGTTGCCCCCCCCCAGGCGTGCACTCAGCAGAGGTCTGGGGGTAAGTTGCCTTTTCAGGATGCACAGAAGAAAGCAATAGAGGAAGGAGAACCAAGGGAAAAAGAAAAAGCACAGGGACTGGGAACTTGGCTTTCAGGAGAGCCCCGGGAAATTTGGTTTTGCAGGGCTCAGTGAGGTCACGGGGCACTGGACTTAGGAGAATACCATACATCAGAGGGTGGGCTCTTTGTTTAATAAACCTAATTGGACCTCACCTTCTTTAGCTCTGGGGAGTGGAGGGATGGATGGTTGGTTAGATGGATGGATTGGAGGATGCATGGATGGCTGGATAGGTGGACAGATGGACAAACAGGATTTTCTTCCTTCCATTCTCTTATACTCAAATATGTATCTCCTGGTTCTTTGTCTAATTTGTCTCTCATATTTTCTATCTTTTGTTTTTTTTTTTGCTTTAATCTTGAAGGACTTCTCCAAAAGGCAATATAAACATACTCTTTAAGGCTACAGAAGTGAACACCAGGGCATACGAGTTCAGAGCTATTGCATCTGAGAAACAAAAACAAACAGACAAACAAAAAAAGGTTGATCTGAGGAGCACGAGACGGTGAAAGGTGGAGGATGGGAGACAGGGCTGCAACTTTCCACTGTAAACCCTCTGAATTACTTGATTTTTAAAAAAAAATTATGTGTATTTACAGGGAGCCTGGCTGGCTTAGTCAGTTAAGCATTCGACTGGATCTCAGCTCAGGTCTTAATCTCAGGGTTGTGAGTTCAAGCCCCGTGTTGGGCTCCGTGCTGGGCGTGGAGCCTACTTAAAACAAAACACCTCCCCCACCGCCACCGCCGCTGCCAAAACTAAAACTGTGTGCATTTACTTCAAGAAAATAAAATTTTAAAAAAAGGCACACAAAACCCACCAATTAAGCACGTAGTGTAGCTTCGACAAAAAGCTACTGCTCAGATTTCAAGTTCAAAGCAAATCATTGTCCTCTGTGTCCGGGGGAAGAAAGAGGAAGAAGGATGATGTCAGCCAAGTGGAACATGGGACACTTCTGAGAACCTCACAGTGGTGGGTACCTCACAGTTCTGTTCTTACACATGGAGCGGCTCTGACTGGCCAGCAGACGTTTCGAGGGTGTCCTGGGCGCACGAGGCCTGCAGGGGCTTTCCGCTCTCCCCTCCTTTCATCCTTGCGCCACACACTTTCCCGGACCGGGCGTGGAGGTCGAGGGGACGGGGCCTGCCCAAGGTCCCCCGGCAGGGAGGAGGCGGGATGCTTTCTGTTTAGCTCCTAGGCCTCCCGCTGCGGATGTCGGTCACCATGGCCCCCGACATCGGGGACAGGCTGCGTGGGGCTCAGGGTGTCTCTCTTGCAGGAGCGCAGCGACGGTGGTGAGGTGGTGGGAGCCACGGATGAACGGTCGGGACCCCCAGGGAAAGCCCCAAGTCCCTGCGTTCCAGGGCCAGAGAACCAGCTCCTCCCCGTGGAGGGGCGAGGCGCCTTCTCAACAGAAGCGGGATGAGGAGAGGAGCTGGGGAGGGGTAGCCGGGTGCGGAGGGTGCTGAGGGACCACGCCCCGTCCCTTGCGGTTGTCTTCTGGGCTCCCGGCTGGTTTAGTGCCCTGGGTGCTGCCAGAGAGGGGATGTGGACTCTGGGGAGCGGCGGCGGGGAGGACAGCCAGTGGGGGCCTGTGTGGGCCGTGTGGAAGCTGGACCCCTGGTCGGCCAGCCTGGGGTAGAGAAGACGGCGGGGGTCCGGCCGCAAGGGGCAGAGGTGTTTGTGGGACCGGCTGCTGGCAGGCCACACACGTGGCCGAGTCTCTCGATGGGCCACAAGGGACCCCAGAGGCGGTCTGCAGGAATGGCCACGGTGGGAGACTGTCTGTCTGTCCTCCTCAGTGCGATACCAGGGAAGTAGTACAGGGTGGGCTGCAGGGGGGCTGAGGTGGCTCCTTCCCCTCCCCCCCCCACTGGGGCAAAGTCGGGGGCTTTGAGCCAAAGACAGTGCTGAAGGTTTACAGTTCCCTCCTGGAGGCTCCACGGGAGAGCCATTTCCCTGATCTGTTCGGCTTCAAGAGGCCACTCAGGTTCCTGCCCGCGACAACCCAGCACGATCTCCCATCTCCCCAGCTGCCAGTCAGTGACCTTGATTCCACCTGCGCCCTCTGTCCCCCTTTGTCCTGGGACCCTGCACCGCCCCACGCTGGGGCAGGCGGGTTCCGTGCACCAGCCACCGGGATCTGAGCTCCGTGAGATGAGACGCTCGCTAACGGGCCTCCATGCGCTTACACATTCAACATCCTGTATTTTGCTGCCCGGCAGTAAGGAGGAAAAGGGGGAAAACGGGACGGACGGTTCTGCCATCGTGGACAGAATTCCACCGCGTGGTACCTGGTGTGGCTGGCCTCGTTAGGAGTCCTGGACGGACATGGCTCTCCTTCTGGGAGGTGTCTGTCGCCTGGGAGGGAACATCTTTGTTTTCAAGAGTCTGAGGACCTAGGAAGGTTCTCAAGGCAGGATGGGAGCTCACAGGTAACACAGGGCCCCACTAGCCAGAGCCGGGGGCCCACGGTCCAGTGTAGACCAGTACAGACCAGAAGAGGATCCAACACGGGCCCAGGTCAGCAGTCCAGGGGCTGCAGGGAGGGCACAGGGCCTGAGCCCACAGGTGTAGGCCTGGGGGTCCCAGCTGCTGGGAGGTCGGGAGCTGCAGGCCTGACCTCAGGTCCTGTCACCTGGGGGAGCATTTGGTGGCCACCACGTGGAGGAAGGAAGGGAAGGGGAGCAGTGGGAGCGCCCCTTGGAAATCAGTTACGGAGCGGCTTGGAGGCACCAGGCCCTCGAGGAATATGGAAATTCCCTACCCTCACCGTGCCTGAAGCTTGGAACCACCCAGGGAGCTTGAACAGCTGCTTGCCTCCAAGACTCTGATTTAATGGATCTGGGGTGGGGGCCTGGCTGCTGGGGTTTGTTTATGGTCTTAATAAAATTGTCCAGATGGGTAATAGGAGGCTGAGGTGGAGAACCAGGGATGGACATGTCGTCTCTGAGCCCTTATTATAATCTCCTTGCTGAGGACGCGGTTCTCACCCTGAACAGAGCTCAGAGAGGTTAAGTGATTTGCTAAAGGCCGCACAGCTAGGGATCGACTAAGCTAAGCTTTCAGATCGGTGCTGTGGGCTGCCCGAGTCCCCGCCCCGTTAACTCTGCCAGGCTGACGTCAAGCCGCTGAGTGTTTTTCCCTTCGTAACAGAACTGAAAGCAGAACCCTCGTTCTGGGTTCTGGCGAGGTCTCAGCCCTTAGCTGTGTCTTGCGCATAATAGGAACCGCAGTATGAAAATGCGTCCCAGAAAAGTAACAGGCGCCGCACACTAAGGTCCCACGGGTTCCAAGCGTTCTACGCGCCCCGTCCCACAACGCGGCTTGTGGTTATGAGCCCATTTTACAGATGAAGCAGTGGAGGCTCAGATCTCAGCAGTTAGTGGAAGAATCAGGAGCCAAACCCCGGTCTTTCTGACCCCAGGGCCCTCGCCTGTGACCACCGAATGTAGGTTTTGGGAGCTGTATGAAAATGCAGGTGCCGGGGGCCCCGGCCCCTTCCCCACAGCCAGCTCTGATGGGTGGGTCCAGTGTGGGACTTGGGGATCCCCATTTTTAACAAGCAGTGTAGGGGGCTCAGCCCCAAGGGGGGAACATGCATGGGGCCAGTCAGCAGAGCCCACGGCGGGGACAGGTGAGCGTACTGGAGGCTGGTCCCCCTACCCTGCCGTCCACCCCCACCGTCAGAAGCAGCAGCAGCAGCACTGGGGCAGAAAACAAGCCACTGGAAAGGACCCCCCCGAAACAAATACCTTTCCAGTTTGCTTGTCACAATTCCTGAAATTCCACAAGTCACACGAAGGTCACTGCAAAGTTCCAGGCTCCCTCTCTCCCCACTTCCTCTCTATCCAAACTCATTTGCTTGGGAGTGCTAGACTCTGAGGAAGAGAAACTGATTTTTACTAGGGTGTGGATGACTTCCTTGGCCCCTCGGGGCACTGGATTCCTTCTCTGGATTCCCTAGGGCACTGGCAAGAGCAGGGGCATCCTAGGATCTCTGCCAAAGTCCCCAGAGGGTCTAAGTGAATGTGACTAGGAACAGAGACTCTCTTATCTAGCCTCGTCCTCCTGCTAGCGACCCCACCCTACTCCCCTTCAGAGTGTTGAAGACCCAGAAGGCAAGAGAAGGTCGGACACTGAGGTGGACGAAAGACAGCTTGTTTAGAACAGGAGTGGCCTCCACGTGTCTGCACCGAGAAGGTGCCGGGACAGAAGACAGGAGTGAAATAGAAGACACCTTCCCGGCCAGAAAGGAGGATGGGCTTTTACAAGGGAACAAGGATGGAGAGAGGGCGTGCCAGGATCTGGGGCAGGAAGTGGGGAGCCCGCACCCCCCTTCATTCAGTCCGAAGTAGCGGACACAGTCCACGGGTGCTGGGTGGGGCGGGTGGGAGGGAGACCCGTAGTGTCATGGCTGGGAGGCATGCCTTCTTCCTGTAGCTGGGCCCGCGTGTGCTGCCTCTCACCCTGCCTTGGGGCCTACTGGTCACGTCTGCCCTTACCACTGTGTCCAGGGCCTAGATGTCCCCTGGGCCCAGTGGGTGCTCCCTACGGATCAGGGAATCCAGGAAGGAATGAGACACTGGCCTGTCCCCTGACCTGCAACTGGACGTCCCCTCTGAGGATGGGGTGGGGGGGGCAGGTGGCAGCTCAGATCCCACGTTGCCCACTTGGCCCTGCCGCCTCCCTCTCCCCCTACCTCAGGGGCTCCCGGCGTTAAGCCGCGGGCGGCAAGGAGAGGCCCATGAGATGCTCTGGTCTCTCGGCCTCACGTCAGCAGCCCCCGCACAGCGCACAGCCTCCCAGGGAGCCCACCAGCTGCCTCACTGAGCGGGTCGTCGGGGTGGGAGGGTAGCTGAGTGTAGTCACCAGCCCAGCCCAGGCTCTCACTTCCCCGAAAGGCATTTCTGGGGAGTCAGGGGACAGAACTCATACCGTGCCCTCCCCGGGAATTCCAGAAACTGTGGGTTTATTCAGCACTTCTTTTTAAAAAAAAAAAAAAACCAAAACCCCGAAAAAACAAAAAGCAACTCAGTCCTGCTGTGGGGGAAGACCGGGGCCCATGCACACACACGAGACGTTTCACGATGAAATGCCCTTCCGACCCGTGGCGCACCCAGTGCGCTCCCGCTCCGGATCTCCGAGCTCGGGAGGAAGGTACCCAGTGAGCGAGAGCTGCTGAGTTTCTTTCAGGACCCGCTGGTGGGGCAAGTCCTGGATATAAAAACTCGAGTTTTTCTCAAGAAGAATGAATGATCTCAAGTAGCCATGAGCCCGACAGGGTGCGGAGAGGACGCTGGTGTGTGGGAGCAGGGGGACTGGGGTTCTGGCTGGAGCTGGAAGAGGCATCCAGTGTCTCTGTGCCAGGAGGCCACCTGCAAAGAGCTCAGCGGAAAGATGGGGCCCCTGTTCCTCATGCGCCCTCTGCCCTTAGGGCCTGGGATGCAAATCCCCTTATCTGAGGCCTGCCCTGCCTCGGACGGACGGACGGACGGACGGACGGCAGCCCCTGGGCCCACGAGGCCGCTGGTCACCTGCTGGGTCTCAATGACTCCGAGTGGAAAGAAGAACATAAAAGGTCATTGATAAATGTGATATAGGTTACTTGTGGGAAAGATCCTTCGGGTGCATTGGGTTAAGATAAATGTATTATTAAAATTAGTTTCGGCTTCTTTTTCCCCCTCTTTTAACTCCCCCCATTGAAATTCTTCCCTCTTGTGCCCCTGCTCACACACGGACCCTCAGGACAGCTCGGCTGGCTCCGCCGGTGGAGCACGCGACTCTCGATTTTGGGGGGGAGGCCATGAGTCAGGTGTCGAGATAATTTAAATAAATACATAAACTTAAAAATAATTTTTGGTGGGGAAGCACGTGGTAATCCACAGCCATGTCCTCCGATCACGCAGCAGCATTTCTAGAAACAACCTGAGAAGTAGCCCCAAGGAAGTTCAAGTCAGAGGCAGAACTGGTAGACCTCAGCGTGCGGAAGCAGGGAGGCACCCCGCGGGCGGCGTGGGATGGCCGGGGAGACAGTCGCACGGGGCCACCCGATGGGTTGCAGTTGCAAGGCGGGAAGAACGGAAGAGACCCAGGAGCCTGGCGGGAGCCCCGGGCCCTGAGAAAGCAGAGTGGGGGGCCCGTGCCCCTGCGGCAATCACTTCTCCCCGTGTTCCCCGCGTCTAAGGCCGGAGCCCGCCGCGAAAAAGCCCAGAACACGGACCTTTCACCGAGCGAGGGCAGGAGCCTCCCCTCTCGCTCTGCCGCCAGCCTTGCCGTGAAGCAGGAACTGAATACATGGTCAGGACGGCGGGTACCCCATCTAAAAAGGGCTTCTGCTCGCCCCTCCCCAGCAGGTGGCTCCTGCGGTGTTTCCATGGCGTTGGGTGTGATGTATCTATCTGCCTGGGGCAGAGCCTTCCGGACCTGCGGATGACTCGGGCTTCCTGCTCCGTTATCCCAGGAGTTCTGCAACCCAGAGGTCCCTCCTTGGATCTGACCAGTTTGTCTTGCGCTGTTGCTGGTTTTCTTAGGTGTTTGGCTCTGCGTGTGAGCGGGACACCTACAGCCCTGTCCCTGGGGGACCGTCTGGCAACAACGTTGGTGCCATCAGTGGGGTGGGGGGGGCCTGGGGACGCCTGCGCCTGATGACAGCCAGCGAGGCCTGTGTGTCCTCTCTAGAGCACATGGAATCAAAATAAGATGATGGTAACTTTTCAAAATATCGACACGTAGGGGAAAACTAGAGGGCCAGCACCACACTCCCTACCGTGGTGGTTGTGAGGTTGTGCAATGTCATTGCACAAACACGGGTCATTCTTCTCCCGTGTTTCTCAGAAGTTCTCATTTTCATCTATCCTAAGAAATACCGAGCGGCCCCCAGGCCCTGTCTTCACTAGGCTCCACAGTCCCACTTTCAAGCTCCCTGGGTGGGCCCCACGCTGGCCGCCCAGGGCCAGGAAAGGGGGTGTCTCTCCGGACAAGTGATGCGCGACAGGGTGGGACGGGAGACACAGGGCCAGGCCCTCTCCATGGTGATTTCCCTGGAGCAGCGGCAGGTGGCTGGGTGAGGATCTGACCCCAGCCCAGCATAGCACAGCTTGACCCCAAGGCCACGGGAACACAGGATGCCTTATCGGTCCCTACGCCCCAGACGCACACATGCAAAGATGCCCAGGCAGGTGGTGGCTAGGTGCCAGGGGCCCCAGGCTGCAGCCCGAGGTTGCCATGGTCATTGCCTCGCCCCCTCATGCCCAGCACAGACCGTGTAGGGTGCTCCCAGCTATCAGTTCCCCACACTCCTCATCAGAGTCTGGAGAAGCTAACCAGCTCTCTGCAGCAGACGCGGCTTGCCGCCTGTCATGAGGTCAGTTCAACCCCCTGGCCGACTGCGGGGGAACGGAAGCCCAGAGGGGAGCCATGATTCTGAATTCAGCCAGCCAGCGAGAGGCAGACTGGACTGGCCAAGGCCACCCAGAGATTGGGCTACACCCCCCAGGGGTCCAAAGCCCAGACGCCTACCTGGGTTGCAAGGGTGTCCATCTGTGTGCGGCTGAGGGGACTGCGGGAGCCGGACTGCGGTAGCTCCGACACAGCTGGCAGGAGACTTTCCTCGCCCACAGGCCTCCCGCCCACCCCAGATCAGTGAGCCCCAGCCAGACCGCACTTCCCCTTCCTGCTCAGCCCTTGGGCGGGGGGAGGACCACGTGCCCCAGGCAGCCCCGTCCTTCTTCCAGGGAAGCTGGCTCTCGAAGCTCCCAGGAGCCAGGATCTCCTTCTGCAAGACCCTGCGTAGGACCATCCCAGCGGTGGGGGTCAGGCCCAGGGACGGGCTCGGCATGGGCGACCGGGTGGCCGAGTGGTCCCTGCAGATGAGTGTGGGTGAGCATTCCTGGCTGTGGCAGCCGGCCCAGGGCTCCGAGAGTGAGGACGTTGGCTCCCACCCAGAGGCAGCCCCTAGGGGGACCCGGGCTCTGGTGGGACAAACACAGTGCGCCCACGGAGACCTGCTAGGGGACACCCGGGCCCACCTAGGGGCTGCCTAGCCAGCTTCTGCTGTGAGGCTGCTCCGGGACATGGCTCCGTGGGCTGTCCTGGTAGGGGCTCGTGTCCACCTGCACGGCTGACAGTCCCCAGCGGCGCCCATGGCCGTTTATAGTGGGGCCGGCACCAGGAAGCCAACCAACCATGTTGAGGACTAACATGAGCATCCCAGGGGGAAAAGCAGGCACACACCAGCCTGCACTGTGTCTGCTGGGGGGAAAGGGTATTTTGACTCTCCGGGGTAATGATGCTACTCTGGGCTTTCTGGGAAGTGCCTACCAACGGGCCTACAGGAAGCACGATTCCTGATCTGTAGGGTTTGCGAGTTTCCAACACGACCCTGTCCAGCTGCTGGTGGGATGGTCCTGGACTCAGACTCCGGGCCATGTCCACAGTCAGGGGTTGGGGCTGCTAACCCCCACCCTGGAGCCCTTGTGGGGACCAGGGCCCACCCCTGTCTGGCTGCATCTCCTGGGCCTGGGGAGTTGTCACCTCCACTTTCCAGCTGAGCTCACCGGAGCTCTGCGAGGTCGCTGTGGGGCAGGGTGGGCAGGGTGGGGGTGGGGGAGCGGGGGGGGGGTGGCAGGGGTGGAGGGGAGTCTGCGCAAGCGCAGCCGGCCTGCTGGGAAGGCCTTTGAGCCCGGCTCTGTCCTGTGCAAACTCTGTGCTCTTAGGGGGATCGAGCCAAAGTGTCGCTGCTCAAAACCCCCTACAATCGAAGTCACAGTGACCTTGGGAGAGGGGAACAAGTGTGTCCGTGGGTAGAGCTGAGCCCCTGACCTAAGGCCGTGGCTGATTCACTAGTAAGTGGTTCCGTAGCGCCGCGCCCACCGTCATTAGGTGACATCATTCTCAACAGACCTGATGTCCCCCCTCCTCTGCCACGTGCACAGGACACCCGGCCCAGGCGGCCGGGGGGTCCAGATCCCATGTGCGCTTTGCCGACAGCGTCCTGCGTAAATCCTTCCCCCTTCTGAGCCTCAGTTTCCTGGCTTGCGAAGTAAGTGAGCCCAGTGGTGACGAGCCTGGACGGGGCGCCTGCACAGCCTGGACCCAAGGGAAGATGGCTGGTAGGTGCACGTTGGCGGAGAAAAGCAGCTGAGCCCCCTGCAGAGAGAAGCGAGTGACCCATGCCTCCTTCCAGCAAACCCCAGGCATGTTTGCCAGGCTCTGTGCTGGGCTCTGCGCTGGGCCCCACCAGGCTCAGACCCAGTGCCTGCCCACAGGGAAGCTTCTCCGGGTGTGGGGGGGAAGGTGAGGGCGTGCTGTAATGCCCGCGGGACTAACACCCATCACAAGTCTGTCCGCAGAGGTGGGCGAGCTGTAGTCTGCCCCGTGGTGGAGCCCGCCTTCTCCAGGATGGAGGGGCACCTGCATTGGTCTCGAGAGCCGTGAGTGCTCCGGTGGGAGCTCAGGAGTGGCAGGGCTGGGGAAAGGCAATTGCAGCATTTGAACGGGGACTTGAAGGATGTGTAGGAGTTCACACAGGGGAGAGAACAGGGACAAATGCTGAAGGTTTGCAGAGAGGCAGGTGGCAGTGGGTGGGGGTGGAGACCAAACTGGGGGCCCCACCCCAGGGCTCGTGGACCTGCCCATTTCCTTGCCACCCACACTCTTCCTCTGGCTCTGCCACTGTCTTTCCGCCCAAGAGGGGCAGAAGGTCGGTTTGGCCTTCCTTCTGCCGCAGGGAGGTGCCACACTCTGGGTCTGGGTGGTGCAGGGGCCCCACAGCTCCGGGAGAATGGGGGACGCCCTCTGGTGGCTGTCTGCAGTGCCTCTGTCCCTGACTCAGGGTCCCACCCGCCCGGGTCTCCCAGGGGAGACAGCTGGACACATGTGACCTCGGCCTCTGGAAGCCACAGAACCCGAGACCCTCAGACTGGAGGGACCTGGGATGGGATTGCAGTCCCCTCTGGCCCCCGGGATTCCACATCCTCATCTGCATCCTGCCAGGTGGCCGCAGCATCTGAGTCATGCACAGAATAAGGCCACCTCGTGGGTGTCAGACTCTGTCATGACCAGCGACCGAAGGGAGGGCTGGATGGGGCCATCGGGGAGGAAACAATTCTTCTAGGCCCTGTGATTCGTTCCTTCTAATCTCAGAACGGATGACGGGGGTGAGGGGAGTGTAGCTTCCAGGCCCAGAGCTGGAACCAACAGTGGGAACTCCCTTGGAGTGGGTGGTGGCTGAAGGGTGGGGGCCCAGAGCTCGGCGGATGGCAGTTTAAGACCCTGAAACCCAGGGAACTGCAGGCCACCTGCTGTGGGGGGAGGAGAACTGGGTTTGGTCAGGTTTGTTTGGAGTGAGCCCCCCTGCCCCCGCCCCCGCCCCAGCCTCAGCAGGCTGCCCAGGTCCTGGAAACAGGGCAGGACAGAGAGGAAACCCTTGTTTTATCCTTGTTCCTTGCCTTCACACAGCTCCTTCCCATCGGATCCAATACTTTGTCACCCTATGGTTCAAAGTATCAAGTGACATGAAGTAGAAAGAAACAAAAAAACGAGCAGTTCCTATTTTGGACTAGACTCCGGTGTTTTCCCTGAGACGGATCACCATTGTCCATCCCATGATGTGAGTCAGTAATCGGCCAGGGTGTGCTCCACACGCCCCGACACTCAGGGGGACTTCTGGGGCGGGGGTGCACCCAGCCTCAAATGCAAACTCGAGTCAGCCTTGGGAGCAGGAGCCTGTGAAGCTGTCCTCCATGGGAGCTGAGAGGCCGTCATGTGTCTGCACGGTGACCGAGAGCCATGGGGAACGGGACCCAGTCCCGGGCTCCAAGTGGCTCCCAGTCCGACGGGGACAAAGGCAAGGAGGTGGGTTAGTACAGTCAGGACAATTGTGGCAGTGATCACAGCAGAGCCCAGAGCTAGACTCTAGTATGCTTGGGAATTTAGAAGATGCCAGGGGTGGTGGTTCAGATCAGCACGGAAAAGGTGGGCGACTCATTTCATGGTCCTGCCCGGTCACTTCGAAGAACTTCCTAGCTGGACTCCAGGCTCCCAGGAAACACATTCCAGCTACAGCAAAGATGTAACTTTAAGACGTGAAAGTGGAGAGAAGTACCAGAGGCAAATAGAGATACTCTTCTTCTTGAAATCATCATGGGTGGGGAGTGACTTCCTAAGTTTGCCACAAACCCAGGAATCGTAAAAGGAAGCATTGATGAGTTTGATGTTAAAGTCTGTGGAGGACGACAGGGTCAGGGGCGCCGCTGTGAGGTGGGCGTCTGAATGGGGAACGACAGTTGGAATGAAAATGGGACGTGGACCAGGGTTTCTAATCTGAGAGCATCTCTTACAAGCTAATAAGAAATGAGATGTGGGGCGCCTGGATGGCTCAGTCAGTCGGGCGTCCGACTCTAGGCTTCGGCTCGGGTCGTGATCTCAGGGTCCTGGGGTCGAGGCCCGCGTCAGGCTCCCTGCTCAGTGTGGAGCCTGCTGGAGATTCTCTCTCTCCCTCTGCCCCTCCCCTGGCTCTCTCTTTCTCTCTGTGGTAAAAAAACAAAAAAGAGAAAGAAATTTACCCTAAGGAGATGCCTAGACAAGTGGAAAAGGGGCTCGGGGGGTGTTGTTTATCATAGTGAGAAGTTAGGAGCGATTTGGCAATCAACCACGTATTCGTTAAATATGTTATTGTGTGTAACCTTGTGCGCTGATTGAAATGGACATGTAATTCCACACTTATTGTTGTAGAGCAACGACCACAACTTATTTACTGGACGAATAAGGCAGATGATAAAGTCGCATGTATAATGACGTTATAAATCATATACTTGAACCTGTCAAGAAAGGCAAAGACCCGTATGTTACCGGCGGTTGCTGCTGAGTTGATGGGCTTCCTGGAGATCTACACCGTCTTCTTTTAATGGTCTGAGGAGGTTTGGGTACGTTTGTAAATCACAAAAACAAGAACTCGTCTTTAAAGTGCTGTGAGAGGGGCATGGAAGCCAGAGTGTGTATGGGAACTGGGAGTCCTTCCCCAGCCCCCCGGGGCGGCTCTGTCATCCCCAACCACAGCCAGGCAGCCCCTCGCCCTCTTGTCCCTACCTCGAGGTCATCGAGGTGGGATCTTCCCGGTCCACAGGCAAGGTCAGTGGCAGGCAGCAGCCATCTCTTGGAGACGAGGGGGTCCCCACCCACTGTCTCCATTCTTGGAGGTACAGATCCCTTTCAGAGGGCATGGGGAGCACTCACAGACCTGTCCTTGCCTCCACATTTCAATGGCCCCCAATTCCCAGGGCCCATAATATGTCACCTTGTTTGGGCAAAGGGACTTTGAGATGGTAATCCTATCCTCCTGACCCAGGTGGGGCCATAGTCATCACCAAGGTCCCCTCCAAGAAGGAGGCAGAGCTATGACCCTAGAAGTGAGCAGTTGGGACGAGGCAAGAAGTGGCCATCTGATTCTCTCCGAGAGCCTCCAAGAGAAACAGTCCTTCTGACCTCTTCTGACTCCTGGCGGTCAGAGCTACGGCAGCAACAGGAATGGACACCCCTCCAGCACCCCTGGGAGCCCCCCAGCCCATGGTGCACTTATGCCTAAGTTGGCTCCCGAGGGCTTCTGTCCTTTGCTGCCCAACACAACCCTTTCAGGACAACAGCAA